TCTTTCCTCTTCAATTTGTGACATGTACCTACTCTGTGGTATTAGCCAAGAATGCGTGTTTCAAAATTTAAATGTTATTTCAGTAATGCTAGGTGATTTTAAAATAAAGAAACAATATCGCAATAACACATAGTAGATCGCATTAACAATACAAGTATTATGCAATTGAATTCGATAGCAGCCTGCCGTATCAAATAGATGGGGGCAATGTTTATGAGAATAGTTAGACATTAGCTCAGTTTGATTGGTAATGTTCTTAGTACAATGCTAAAATGGCACTCATTTAGCAGTTATAATGAAAGTACGCATGGCGTCTAGGACATCTCTGTGGCAGTATCCGAAACCTCTGGCGCCGAAACTTAACTCAGTTTCTTCAGTTAAGGTCAATGCTTTTAAGAAATCGGAGTAATGAGAAGTTTTGCTCTAGTATTAGAATATCTGCGACGTGACGAAAAGTAATGTGCCATAGTTTCTAGTTCTCCGCAGAATCGCCAAATTTCCGATGGACAAAAACAGGGCCGTAATAATCACTGACTCACTTTCAATACGCATAGCTTTCATGGGGCCTCAGCCCTTCACCCGGCAATCGCGCAGTAAACCATTCTCCGTGGGAACTTTTGCTTTTTGTTTCTGCCAGAATTTCCGAAAACTTAGGCCTTGGGCAACCGCCAAAAATCATGGCTGTTGAAACTTCTTGAATATACTTAGAAAAAGCCACCAAGGCACCTGTAGACATGTAAACCTGCACGCTGCCGTGGCAAATGCACTTAGAATGTCCGTGCTTTCTTCTCACTTAATTACGTAGTCGATGAAAACGACTGTGAAGACGACGGGAAACGATACGACCATTGGCTGATTTCATGTTCGGGAAAGCATGTTATAACACCTTACCTTTCCGTAGAGAGTTCAGTAAATAAGAAAATAAGTAAGTCTATCTTGAAAAATAAATAAATTATGTGGGGTTCATACTCAAGGCATTGCCTGCTCAATGTTTTGCCTTCTTCTGTGCTCATGCGAGGCGGCACCTGGCTATCGATACACATGCTATTTCAAGCACCACGAGCTTGACTCGGCCGCTTGTCTTGTGGAGAGCCTGGTGCGACAATGCTTACCGAATGTCACTTTGTCATGTTCAAAACTATCGGAACATATGCGACAGAAAACTTCCTCTTCCGTATACGCACCTCAATAGCTCGACGCCCAGGCAGGCATCACATCTTAATAGTCAGTCGGAGCCACTTCAACATCCGCAATTTGGATTTGGATTCGTCGAGTCGAAATAACGCCAAAATACACCGCCCAGCACCATGTTGTAAGCAGTTATGTTGCGTACTGCGCCGAGAAATTGCCTTCCTACTGGTTTTCGACCAGCTGAGCCACATATTAGCGCGCTCTTGTGCTGCTTTGGTGCCGTGGCCATCACAAGGAGCCACTTCGTGCTTGTGATCTAAAACTCTGCCTCTTTTTCGTTTCATTTCAGGCAGTCGTTTCACCAATCAGCATCATCCTTTTTATGAAATTATTATCGCATCGGCAGCACATCAGCGCATGAAGCCATCTTTTTTTTTATTTCATCTTAAGGCACGCTTAGAAAAATTGCCCGCTTGAGCTTAGTTCACAGTATACAGGGTGTCCCACGTAAATTTAGTCAGAGTTTAAGATATGCCTGCACACGCGATTATGACGCGACCAACTGCATGTTGCTTACCGTTGCTTGTAGTTAGTCAGGTTAATATTTGTGTTCTAAAATAAATTCTAATTAGATATGTTTATTTACCTAACTTTTCAAGAAACAAAAATAAATTTAAAAAATCAATAAAATTATTATTGATCAGTTTGCAAAACGTCCGATTAGACAGTTTTGAACTTTATATCTGTTAGCTATTAGTGTTTTTCTGCTAATTACAAATGACCGTGAAATACAAAAAATAACACGTGACAAACCCGCTCGTGCGCCAGTGCGCACAATAATTCTAGTGCTCCCTGACGTTCCGCGTACGAACGACCATTGCATTTGCCCCATTGTGCTGTCTTGGTAGGGACTCAACGATGGTGGTCGCTTTACGATGAACATGTTTTGCTATCGGCCACAAAAACGATAACCGCTGCGACAGCTTATCGCTGTCATGAACCGGTGCGAGGGAAGCGTGTCGTTCGTACGCGGAACGTTAGGGGGCAACAGAATCATCGTGCGCACTGACGTGTGAGTGGGTTTGTCACGTGGTGTTTTTTGTATTTTGCGGGCAGTTGTAATTAGCAGAAAAACATTTATACTTAACACTTACAAAGTTCAAAACTAACTATTTGAACGTTTTGCAAACTGACGTAACCTTTCTCATTAAATGTTTCATCTATATTCGTTCCTTCAAAAGTTGGTTAATTAAACAGATTTATTAAACAATGTTTGAGAACACAAAAAATACTCTGGCCAGCTCCAGGCAATGGTGAGCAACACGCATTTGGTCGCGTGATCATTACGTGTTCAGGCATATGTTTAAACTCTAGCTAAAGTTACGTGGTGGTCTTCACGATACATTCAATTTTCAGCCGCAATAAATTTCCTTCGGGATGAGACATTGCTATAGAAAAGTTGTTTTATTTTCAAAATGAAAAATTTACTCTGAATCATTTTTACTGCGCACCGCAATTGAGTGCAACCACCTTCCCGACGGAATCACATCAATCACCGACAATCAACGTTATCGCGAAGCACTAGCTAAATTCATTGAAATATAAACATGTCTTAATTTATTGCTATCGCAACTCACTTTGTTTGTTTTGTTTTATGCATGTGCATTTTTTCCCACCACCCCCTGCAATGTTTCTGCCTTCCGAGAATAAATGAATGAATAAAATGAAAAACACAGCTATATATTGACTTCAAAAAGAAGGCCTCTCACAATGATCGCCAGTTTGACGTAGCTTGCGTTATATGTCTTCATTTGATTCTTGTGCACTTATTAATTGTATTACTGTATCTAAGTTCCTGCCCTCCCTAACTGTCAATCCCTTGGTACGTATCTTTTTTGCTCGAAGTGATCACCAGTAGTCCGTCTGCCACACAGAAAATGTAAAGAGTAAGTGTGAAAACTAAGAGACAACTAGGGGAAAAAGTAACCATTCCAGCAGCTACAACAGTATCTTTCACCATATATCGACTATAATGTTACTGTCTGTCACAAAATTAGGTTGTTTCAAGTCAAAACGAAAATATGCGCCACTTACATTCAATTCTAGTGAAGAATAAGACATTGGCCGGAAATAAAGACTTCTCGAAGTGTAAAAGCACAAGTGTGCGCATGTAGATGAATGACGTGACACCTGTGCATTACGTGAAAAACAGTGGAGCATTTTGATTTGTCCATTGCAGCATAGCCACAGAAGAACAACGATCCTAAAATGATTTCTCACCAGCCGCCACAACTGTATGATATAGCAACGTTTTTTTTTAATATGCGCAGGTGAACTGTGTGGTTGCGATAAAGGGGAACATAAGTAAAAGCCGAAGGAAATTACACTCTCACCTCAAGTTACTTTTTCTTGTAAAAAACGACGCCAACTCCTCCGCTGTTGACACAACCGTGTGCGCGGTTCCACCACTCTTATTTATACGAGCGTGCTCACAGAGAGGGCAAAAAGGATGAACAATTTGCCCGTTCTGTGTGTTACCGTTGAGCGCTTTCGTGTCCACAAGTCGTTTGCCGGGAGATAATTCGTGGGTCCAGTTACCGGGTGAGCGTCATGTGTTTACACGTGTTTCCTTGACGTGCGCCTTTCCGTTCCTTGCTTTGTCAGACCATTGTTAGAAATGGCGTGCCTTGTTTGATCTTGGCTGCACCGCAGTGGCCCCGCCCCCTACGTTCGGGCAAACCTGTTGCTCGAGGGGGAAGGGGGCAGCCCGAGGCTGGCGCTGCCGCGCGGGTGCGTGTGTTTGCGTTGACCATTGTTGGCGTTCACTAACGCTGCGACTGTGCGCACTGACTAGAAAATTGCGCTCACTGAGAAAGTGGCCCGACCACTTGCCGCGTATGACCTTCGACAAATGCGGCGAAAGCTGTGCTATCAAGCAATGCAGGAAGCAGCCCGAGTGATACGTAAAACGTGTACTGCCTTGCGACACTGACGGCTACGTAGGGGTGATTTGCAATTGTTGCGCGACAATGAACCTCCTGATGTGCAGTGGCTCTCTTCCAAGTGCCTGTCACTCCATGCCGAGAGATCGAGTGACTCACTGAGTCGGACCCTAGATGCGTCATTTATAGACTGGTTGGTAATATTTGGTAACGCACATATCTGGCGAACAGAATTGCGCAAGGATAGTCGATTATTCATTCTCTTATATAAACCTACCACCCACAAACTGACAGATACAGAGACGCGGAAACGATCATACCTGAACGAGTGCCTACGATTAAGCGCCAAGGTCAAGCTGTCAAATTTCCGGGTAGCCGAATATTAAGCACATGGAGAGAGCAATCGCTGCTCGTTATATAAGGAGACGAGACTTGCTTTTTATATTCGTAAGACCATGTGTTGTCGAAAGCGCTTTCAAGAATATCTGCCAGATATATTATCATTGATAACTTTGAGTAAAGTTAAATGTGTAAATACCCTTCTTTTCCTACAAAGATTTCTGCAATCAACGTGGTTTTGCACTGTTTACGTAATCCATGGCACTGCAACCTTTAAGCCCTTCCTGTAGTTTCGTGGCGACTTCGGGATGCGCCCACCTTCGAACAAACTAGCATGGCTTGTGATGATGCAATTATATATAATTACGTCATGATGTGATGATCACTTTATTGCGTCACTCGACTTGACGCCGACAATCGCTCTTTCTGCATGATGAGGTATACAACGCTTCACTGAAGTAAATTATCTACAGTCCTATCTATGCTCTCATCATACCCAAATTGTAAATAACTTAGCTTTTAAAATAGTGTGCCCATGTTTCAATGCAATAGACTATGGAGTAAATCGATACAAGGTAACCGAACATGGTCTAGAAAGAGCACGTTGCATTCCTCATCGACTATTAGTTTTCTGCCTTCCAGCAACAATATTCCGATTGATTGAGAACGTGGGTTTTGAAGGCCGTATACTGAAATAATTTAGATTATATTTCATTCGGTTAGCCTTTGTGCATCTTTGACCATCACCCACTGTATGTTCTAGTTTTGCTATTCTCGCGCTAAGAAAAATGAAAAATAAAAATAAATAAATAAATAAATAATAAATAATAAATAATAAAAACAAGTTACTCGATGTAGCACGAGAACTGTAGTCATGTACAACGTGAACCAAAGAAAATAAATTAGGCATGTCTGTTTTGCATCTACGCACGCGTTATAGAAACAGAGATACTCAGTGACACACGGGACACTGGCATTTTGCTTTCATGCCCAACATTTCTTCTACTTGCTTCCGCCCTCTCGGCTATCCGCGACGCATGGAGACCAGTTCTATGCCACTGTCATGAGGTGAGGATTCAGAAGGACAACAGTCATAGCTGCGTAGGTATTTGAGCATTTATTAGCTGCCAAGCTGTAACTGTCGACATAAGCGAAGGAAGGAAGTAACAGCAGGGAAAGCAAAAGTAGGGATGGTAACTAGTCGAGAACAACCGGTGTGCAACTAGACATACCTAATGCTGCTACTATAACTTATGCCTATATACACCATAGGCACGAAAACCTCGAAAGATCTTGGAGCTTCGCATTTAGCAGCGGAACGCAACATCTCAATCGGGCCTCGTTAACAGCGCCTTCTCATTAACTGGACATATGGTTTGCACCTCGGCGGACACTAAGAAAGAAAAGTCCATCCGCCTGCCATTGATCGTTTTCGATGCTTTAAGACTGCATACACTGCAATGACAGTTGCGACGGGCCCACTACGCTATAATGCGCCACTTCGAAAATTACCCAACCGTACCCGCAAAGTGACCATGAATACGCATGCCATTGCTGCAACACAGTTAATTTGTGGTTGCTGTAGTTGTTTATTATGGTCAAATATGCTTTATTGCAATGCAATTAGTCGTCCCTAAAACACCACTTTGTGAGCAAATCAGTTTGACGTGACACATTAAGCTTCTGCAACTCAACGTTATACCTCTCAAAATGACTTCTTACTCTCCATGACACCTGGGCTCAACGTTGAGGACTGGCCTCAACGCATCCAGCTATTGTGACGCACTTCTAGCAGTTGGCGTAAAACCATGGCCCACAATCGCATGTAATTTCTGCATTATACATCAGGGAATTTTCGATTACTTAGTGAAACGCAAGATGTCTTAGATTTTCCCTCTCTGATTTCCCGCAGTTTAGTCATCTATACCGATTTCCTATCATATTCATACGTGAACCAAAGTGATAAAACCCAGTCTTACTATCTGAATAAACAATTGTATCGGGCCAGTTGGTACGAATCCATCTTGGTAGGAAATGCAGGAGCTACTACACGGAACAAGCAACAAAAGCGCTTACATTGTGTATTCCGTGTAATAGTTCCTGTGCTTCCTACTAAGACAGACTATGTCTGGCTACAAGTCATTTTTCTCATCTAGGGACATAGAGAGTAGCAAGCATGTTTTATTTATTCGCCAGGAGCTTACTTATGTCGTCCAGCCAGTACAATCTCAGGTACGACGACCATCATTATTTGTGCTTGACTATTGTTAAAAATAGAAGGGTCACTTTTCCCCTCCTGGGTGTGTATCTGTTCCCGTCAAGTCGATTTGATCCCCAAAAAGCCGGACGGCATCATAAAGGCACACCGGGGTTCGTGGGTTATCAGCGCGGACTTCAGTGCACATCATCCAATTCAGGGAAGCTCAAGGGCCATTTCGACGAGATGACGTGTAGCTTCATTGGTTTCCGGCCATGGTCTCGTCTTCCAGAATGACGCAAGTCCTACGTTTTTGCGAGGCATCACATGTAGCAGCGTCCTTAATTTGTCTTTCGTGTCATGCCGATTTTCTATAAGGGTAAAGTTGTTTTTGGACATTGAAATTCACGGAAGTGATTTTATCTCCACCTAACAGAAAATCAAAGGTATTTTAAACACGCATTCATCTACCACGATGCGAAGAATAGATTAGAATATGTTCGAAACCCAACTTCCGGATGCTTATGAGGCAGGCTTTTCCCGTGGTTTTCAGCAGGCTATTAGGAGAACTGAACAGGTGGCTATGCGCACACTAATATGTGCTCCGAGGTACTCTGTATTTGACTGCGAGCTAGAGATACTTCATGCGATCCATCGTCATGCCGAAAGAAGATACCGACGCACTCATTTCTCTACGAATAGTCTGACGCATACAAAAGAAGATACAACGACGCAACTATAAATAGAGATGCAACGATGGGTAAAATTTTTTCGGTCGCTAGTTCCTCATATAGCACTGTCTGAAATAGGAATAACTGTGTGAGCCCTACGTTCTTTTCCGAAACAGCACTTTCCGTTCAAGGCCTTCGCACTCTTTCAGACAGAAAATGGAGGTGGTAGAAGATTTCTGTGCTATGATTGTGGGCCAGACAACGTGCGCAAGCGTACATACATTGAACCACATTCCTTACTTACGGGACACGCGCATGGACTAGCTTTCACTTTGCAGAAGGTTGATGCGCTGCTCGTCATAGGTTATAGGACGTCTATCGTGAACTTGTTTACAACGCACCACTTGAAACACTAGACAGGGAAGGAGGAAAAGAGAAAAGAAAAGACCGCGCTGTTCGTGCTGTTCAAGTTCACGATAGACTCTAACCAAGTGGTCCAACTTACTGTCTTGCTTTAATAGGTCGTCGTTGCTTGGCCCGGATGACATATCTTACCGGATACTTTGCCATCTTGGTGAACAGGCCCAATATGCACTTTTTAACATCTTGAACGAATCCTGACAAGCAGGCGTGTTCTCTCAACATTGGAACAATAATCGCTTCGCACTGCTTCTTATGCCTGCCAAGTTTCTCTTAGAAATGACCTCCTACCGACCAATTGTTCTTTCAAGTTGCGTGTGAAAAGTAATGGAGCAAATTATCCTGGCCTGACTTGAATCGTACCTTGAATACTTCGAGATATACCGAAATGCCGTGGCTTGTTTTGGCCATGTTGAATCGACAATGTTATTAATCTTGTCACGTACGTTCAACATCCAAAGGCATGTAAACTAACATCTGTTTCCATGTTCTTTGATGTGAACGGAGCATAAGATAACGTTCTTCATTACGCAGTCCTTGAAGCCATGGAGTTGGTGGGTCTAGGGGTTCAACTACATTCTTGCACACGCAGTTATTTACAAGAGTGGACTTTATTTGTAAACATTGCAAACGGTGCAACCTTCGAACACACTACCTATCAAGGAGTTCCTCAAGGTGGGGTCTTGTGTCCAACCCTCTTCAATCTTGTCATTATTGGTCTTGTAGAACGACTACAGAGTATGGTAAAGCTATCTATAGATGTCGATAACATCGGCGTCTGGGCCTCTGGCGTATCTGGACGTCAGGCGTCTGGGTGCCCATCATTTAGCCATCATTCATCTGGACGTGAGGCGTGCCCATCATTTAGCCTCACTGCCAGAAGATAGACCTCAAGCGTCATTTTGTCAGTCTTGCCATCGTACACGCATACTAACAGGATATACAGCTTCAGCCAGAATTCCAACTCCCCCTTAGTGTACGACTCATCCACAGGTTTAACTTGCTGTTCCAGGCATACGGTCAAAAACTCGGCTCTCGTAAGCAGCACTAAAACAACTTTCTCTTCTTTTGTTTTATGATACGTACAGTGCGTATTTAT